AGATTCCCAGGTGAAGCATCCAGAAAGATGGAGAGGTAAAAGGCCACTTTTGCTTTGTGGGTTGCTTTGTCAAACCCAGAGGCAAGGCATGGAGACAGAAGGTCTTCTGTCTTCTTGGAGGAGCTAAAGGATGCTGTGAAAGCTGCAAGTCTGTGTTAGAAGCTCTTGTTAAAATGCTATGCCTTCAGATCTGTAAAGGCACTTGAGAACCAGGTACTATTATCTGGTGTGGGAGGTCCTTCTGTCTATGTATTGTTTTTATTGGTTAATGAATAAAGAAATTGCTTTGGGCCTATAGCAGAGCTATAGGGGAACAGAGATAGGCAGGGAAAACTAAACTGAATGCTGGGAGAAGGGAGGCAGAGTCTGAGAGGTCATGTAGCTCTGCTGGAGACAGATGCCAAAACTTTAGCCGGTAAGCCACAGTCACGTGGACATACACAGATTAATCGAAATGGGTTAAAGTAAGATGTGAGAGTTAGTTAATAAGAAGCAATCTGGTAGCACACATGCACGCAGAAACTTAAATTAAACACATCATGAAAACATACTTAGATACTTATGTAAACATATTTTGGCCACAACATTCTAACAAACAGACAAATAAAGCACTTTTAGAGCAAACACTGTAAGAGGAGGTAGGGGCAAAGGCCAGAAAATTACAGCAGATAGCTTAGAGAAGTGGGGGCGGTGGGGGAGGAGGTGGGGAGCATGCATCTATAAACCATGCACTTTTGGAGTGTTGTTTTCTTTAAGTTAGATAATTAATAAGTTAGATAAATTTAAAAGGATTTTTTTAAAAAGGCGCTTAAGGGCAATTTGAAACCAGCTTGGAATTGCAAGAAACCCATTTTAAGTACACGCTTGAGTGACTCAAGTCTGTTATAGCATGTCCGCCAAGATAATTCTTGAGCCGAAGATGGGGCTGTGAAAAATTGAATGTCTGGTGTCCCGGATCAATCAAAGTCACCTCAGTAAAAGTATCTGGCTTTCACCTCGTTGGTCAGGTCTCCGGCATGGGCACGCAGCTTTATGGGAGAACCTGAAAAGTGAATGGGTCACCCCAAACCCTACTGAACATGCACTTTAAAAGAAGAACTTACCTGGAGCTGATCTTGCCTGGCAGAGGGTATGTGCGGGACGTGCATTTTCCAGCACTGCCCGGGGCCCTGGGCCCATGGGAAAAAAACGAACCCTCACAGTGGGACACTCCAACTGTTAGGAAAAATCTTAGGACGAGCCTCTCTGCCGACACAAAAGAACTCCAATCAGATCAGATTAAGACACATTAAATGCCCATGTTAAATAGATGTCACACTCCTGGGTGGCTGGGAGAGCGTGGTGAGGGAAAGACAGAGGGAACACACATGCAAACCCAAAACCTCTTGTTTCTCTTTTTGGCTTGAGCTTAAATACCCTGTGGTTGCTGTGGTGCTTTATCCATTAGAAGAATAATAGTACTATTGGATTATCCCCTAGGGTCTGTGTCCTATCTAGCTATAGATTCTCTCCCCTTTACCAGTGTTAGGTATACCCTTTGTCTCATAGAGAAGGACTTAAAGTCAAGTAAGAAGTGGTCAGTTTCTCCCATTGGCTTATGCCACTATCACACCAGTGGGATTATCTTATCAAGTCAGTGTTTGTTGTAACTTGCAGTGTTCAGACCTGGGGGAGGTTGGTGAGTACTTTTCTCATTCAGCAGAGGGCGTTACACCTTTCAGTATCACTAGGGCTGAGCTGTAGGGTTGGAGTGTCTGGGTGAGTACCTCCTAGAATTCTCCATGTTCTTTATCTTAAACATTGATGTCTGCAGAAACAGGGTCTTACCACGAAACTCTGGAAATTAGACAAGGTATAAGCACTAGTCTGTAAGCTAATAGAGTTAGTCCATGGGATCCAACTAGCTGGAAGCTAAAGGAGGTAAAGTATTACTGCTACACAGGTTTGCATTTGCTGGTATGAGGTATCTGCTTGTGGTTTTGTACCCCTTCCAATAGTAAGGTAACTGGATTAAACATTATATATATTCTAGTAAGCTTTCAGAGTAGTAGATTTCCATATGGCTTTTTCAAAGGGTATTTAATGTTAACCATCTCTCTATGCCCTGGTCTACCCTGCCCTGTCATGTCCTATCACAATGTAAGTTATCCTTTTACATTATTTCCCTTTATCCTTTCATACCTTCTGAGTGGGCTATATTCAGAGGAAGAACCTCTGTTTAACTGGCCCTGTGTTATACTGACATCCCAGGTCACTGTGCAATTTTGTAATTTGGCATGGCTGAAGGCAGACATTGCCTAAGATCATCCTTTACATGTGATATGCAAACATGGAGAGTACTGAGTCTCCTACTGACCTGGCCCTATGGTATGTGTCCTAACCTTTATGAGCCATCCACTGGCGGTGTGTTTCTTGGCACCTGGCCTCAGAACTGGTGACTCTTTCCCTTCAGGTACATGGACAATTACATTCTCAGTTAATTGTTCCTAACTCTGAATGGCACTGACAGTCACAGGGAGCTGACACGCTTCCCTGAGTTGGATTCAGTACCCATGTGCTTCTCAGAGCAGAGCTGGGACTAGTTAATGGCTTTGTTTCATGTTCCTCATTCTGTTCTTTCTTCTCCAATTATAAAGCACCTTGTTTGGACCAAAGAGAGTATTTTCTGTTTTCTGAACTCTTTCATTTCTCCCTCTTGTGAGGTTCTAGGTTCTTAAATTCTGGGTATTGATTTATACCCTTGTCTAGTTCATGGGACATCCTGAGTATAATCATGGCAGCAGTTACAGTCATCACTGAGGTTGCTCAGTATTTTAGAACTTAAACTTCAGACTGTCCTTCTTGAAGATGATGTTTTCTGCAAGTTCACATACTCTGTCCTTTGGAAGAAAGATGTTTTCTTACAGAAAATGTGAAGAAAAAGTTTTGTTTTCTAGGTTAATGAAACAAAATGGTGACATGGAAGGGAAAGTTAGGAAGTCTGGAGGAGGAGATGGGATTCAGGAAGAGTTTTGATAACTGATAAACCTGAGATTTTTTTCTCTGTGGGGATCAACTCTTGTGAGAATTGGCACATAGCATCTTTCAGATCCTGAGACTTCAGCACAATCTTACCAACAGCAGCAGTGCAAGCAGTCCTGTGAGCCTCCTCGTGTGTGCCCACCAACAAAGTGCCCAGAACCTTGTCCTCCTCCAACACAAACAGAGCCTTAAACTCCCTCAAAGCATTCAAAAATCAATAAAGAAGTGCAAAACACCCGATTTTAATTCCCTCTGTCAGTTTTCATGCAGCAATGAATCATTAATTTATATTAGAAAATCAGGAAGTGATGAATGCTGCTACAGATAAAAATGTAAGAGTTAGGCCATGTCTATCTGTTTGTGTCTGTCTGTTTGTCGTCTGTCTGTCTGTCTGTCTGTCTGCCTGTCTGTTTGTGTGTATGTAAAAGAATGAGCACCTGTGTTATGTATGAAGCAGTCAGTATTCTATGTGTTTTGGGAGATCCCAGAGCTCCAGTTGGTGTGTACAACAGCCAAGGTGGACTCAACAGCTCTTCGCACAAGAGAAGTGTGGGAGATTATGAGTCTTCATGCTGACCACCTAAGCAGGAACGTGCTTAGGGCAGGTATGATTTTAGTTCCTCTAAAGTCATGCTAAGCAGCCTTATGGAAATAATTAGAGGGGAGTCTATATACCCCAAATATATTGTTAGAGATGGCAGTTGTGAAGTGCATCAGGGTTAGTCCCAAGCCCATCAGCCTCCTCTATGAACAGCATATTTAATTTTCTATGATTACAGAAAAGAATTAAACCTTGGCAGGAATCCTGAGTTGTCTCTGGGAACAGGTCTGTCAACGATGCTGCTGGAAGCACAGCTGGGGTTCCCTGTAATACTGTCCTGCTTTCAGCACATAGATGAATAATACCTAGAAAACAGGAATATGAATATGACAGTGCACCAAAGAATATCAGTGAGCCAAAGCAGGGCAAACAGGACACAGAGAGGTGTAACAAAGAAAGAAATATAATGGATGTCTTCAGTCAAGAAAGACAACTGAGATAACCGGGGAGGTCTTGCTGAAACTGAAAAGACAGGAGGGCCCACTGAGTCACAGGGCTCACAGCGATGGTGTCCAGGAACAGAATATTTCCTATTTTGTAGAGTCCCAGTCAGAGAGTCATACATGGATTTGCATTTTGGTTGGGAAATTCTTGGACCTGCCCTCAATCACAGCTCTACTCCCTCTGGGTGGGGCAGCCAGTCCTATAAAGAGGCCCTTGACTGTGTGACTGCAGACTCCTGGTGCTCACTTCCTGGACTCTGAGTTTGGAGAACCTGGTGAGTGTTTCTTGGGTTGGTCTGTCTTCATGGTCTTCTTATGTGTTCCAGTCAGTTTTGAGGGACTAAGTGTGATGAGTCCAGTTGTGTTCATGGGATGAACAGCAACAACTTAGCAATCAGAAATATAGCAATGGATACAATGGTCCACTGTGAAAGGTGGCTTTTCCTTTTATTTAGTAGGAGGTTGTACAGAGTATTTTTCTTTTTCATATGCATCTTTTGGTGTCCTTTTCAGAGCCCTATACTTTAACAGATATCAGAACTTTGGACTTTCCTGAGCTGTCCTTTATTCTGCAACTCCAGACAACCTTCTGGGATGTCACAAGTGACAAGGGAGACAAGGCTGGGTTCTCAAATTGCTCAGGGTTCCAGAACTTGAGACTGTCTGTCTCAAAGGAATTTCTATGTGAAATCAGCCTTACTTGTTTCACTGAAATAAAGTATCTTTTGCTTAAGTAAGACATGAAAAGAAGGTTCTCCTAAGGCTAGAGTCACAGATTGCTAAGAGGAAAGGGAAAGGCCATGCTGTCCTAAGACAGGATTGGGGAAGATGTACATGTGTGGAGAGAGAAAAGGATGTCTTGGTCTATCTTCTCTGTGTGGATCACCCCTTAACACTGCCAAGTAATGTCTTTCAGATCCTGAGACTTCAGCACGATGTCTTACCAAGAGCAGCAGTGCAAGCAGCCCTGCCAGCCTCCTCCTGTGTGCCCACCCACAAAGTGCCCTGAGCCTTGTCCTCCTCCAAAGTGCCCTGAGCCTTGTCCTTCCCCAACGTGCCCAGAGCCTTGTCCTCCTCCAAAGTGCCCAGAGCCTTGTCCTCCTCCAAAGTGCCCAGAGCCTTGTCCTCCTCCAAAGTGTCCTGAGCCATGCCCCCCTCAGCCATGCCAGCAGAAATGCCCTCCTGTGCAACCTCCTCCACCCTGCCAGCAGAAGTGCCCACCCAAGAGCAAGTGAGTGCTTCAGCAGTCACCAGGACCAAGAGAAGAGGAGGAAATCTGTCTCCCATACAGAACCACTTCCATCTCACTTCAAATCCTGTCGTGGATGCAGAAAGATCTTCTCTACCCTTAACCCTCCTTGTGTCTGTGATGACCCATCATATGGAAGGCATTCCCCCTTGATTGTTTTCACTGTGACTTCATTTCCTAAATAAACTACACTGGTGGATAGTAATCATGAATTCTTTTTATTTCTTTTAAAGCTGATTCTATTACTTTCCTGATATGCTCCTGTTACATTCTTTTTATTCTTTGATCCCCAGATCATGCTGTTGTAAGAAGATTTTGACTGTATTTTGGGTCATAACAAAGACTGCTTAGTGTTTGTTTGCTTGAGAGAAAGAGCTTTATTTTGCACAACTACAATCTCTCTATTAGCTCATGCTATTTAAGAAGATTATGTGATATTAAGATAATCATGTGACACTTAGGACACATTTTCTCCCTACACCCCATGCATTTTGCTCTCAGTTGTCTCCTTCATATGCTGTAATAGTTACACATCTACATCAGTCTACCCTTGTTATGCTTTCCTCCTTCATTATTTGAAAGATCAGTGCCAACCTTGTATTTAAGACTGAATTTAGTTCCCTTAATTTGATGGCATGCAGTTTCATTTATTTGCCTGCAGAGGGCATGACATCACAGTTCTTTAAGACTTAGTATTACTCCAGTTCATGTAAGTGCCACATTTTCTTATCCCAACCATTTCTGGTGTGCAGCTGAACTGACTTATTTACTTTGCATGTTAGGAGTAGTTCTGAAATATAGATGGATATGCAGGCATCTCTATGTATGCTGTATTTGACTTTTTTTCATTTGAACCCAAGTGATGATGCTGAATCATATGATCATTCTGCTTTAATGCTATTTCCTTGGAGGAAACCTCACACTGATTTCCATATCTGATGGGTTAATCTATTTTCTCACATTCTGGGACTTTGTTTTCTTTTTCCTCCAACCTCTGTCAGGACTTGTTATCATTTTGATGGTCTTCATTCTTACATGGGCAGAATGGTCTTCTGGCGTGGATTTGGTCTTCAGTTCTCTCATGGCTAAAGATGTCGAACATTTTCTTGTTAATGTTACTTGTGGAAACTCCTGCTTGCCAAAGTCTTGCCTTTGGTCACAAATGAACTACTGCATGCCATTTGATAGACACAATCCGAGGCTCCTAATTAGCACTAAGTAAGTGATAATTTAGAAGGTACTGACCCACGTCATTTATACTACCCTGTCTACTACATCCACTTCCACCTGCAACTTCCACATCATCATCAACATAAGTTAAAGGACCACAATCTGTTAAATACATCCAGGGTGCAAAAACTTTGTTCCTAGTCAACTGCTTTATTTTAAAGTCTGAAATTATGTACAGGAAGCTAGATGAAGTTTATTTCTAGAATCACTTAATGCTGTATATGGCCATTAATATGATGACAGAAAGGTTTTCTATACATACACAATCTTATGAATGTTGGTATAATGTTTAGATCTTCAGAAACGTTTTAAAGAATGAAATGGAAACCAAAGGATGATGAGATTAATAGCAATAGAAAAAAATTTTGTTTTCTTTTGTCCCAGAGATTTTGGATTTTCCTTTAGCAAGCATGCATAGGTTTAGAGAAGGAGAGAACCATGGTCCAATTACAAAGTCATCTTAATTTTTTAATTGAATTGAGACCACAAAAGGACCATTTGCCTTTTATGTATGTAGAGAACAGCAGAAACAAATATTTGAGATCTATGAAATTCTACCCTGCTAAAGGATGCTAAGGAAATACCCACTGAAAAGTTTCTGAGGTCAATTAATGACTTTCATTGTAATAGAAACTCCAAATAGCCAGTCAGTACACTAGGGATAAATCCTAGTCTCATTGCTAGTGGCCCCACAGACTTCCCAAGACAAACAAATGTCACCCATGAATTCATTCAGAGAGCCTAGTTGGTCCTATGCAGGCTCAGCCTGGATACAGTGGAAGGGCCTTGATCCTACCTGAAAGTGATATGCCAGACTTTGTTGACTCCCCATAAGAGGCCTTTCACTCTCTGAGGAGTGGATGGTGGGGATAAGGAGGGGAGGGGGAGTAGGAAGAAGAGAGGCAGTGGGAACTGGGATTGGTATGTAAAATGAGAAAAGATTGTTTTAAAAATAATAAAATTTAAAAATAAAATAGAAAGAAACCCCAATAGAGATTCTGGCACTGACATGAATTTGGCAGAGTTTTAGGCAAATACTTGAAGTTAAGTAATAATGTATGTGGATATAAGGATGAAAAATTTCTTTATCAGTACTAGAGTCATCAAGTTGGGTTCCGGTCTAAACATCTCTTGCAGTTTTCTACCATTGAGAGAAGCATAGAACAGCTGGCACAGCACAGGGAATAGCTCTATTTTTTAAAAAATGTCATCAAATCATGGCCTCCAGATTTTCTATAGTTTGTGCTAGAAACTGAAACTAATTTAAAGAATACTTCTTGTGCAATGGCATGTTTGCCTCAGAAACTAGGTATTTTCCCCAAATCTCTAGAAAGCGCCTGTACTTAGAGGTGTGGTCTTAAGAGAGCAGACTAATGTAATCTGATGTCACATGGGCAGGTCCTCATCCTGCTGAATTGCTGTCCACCTGAGAAAGGTAAGGCACAGAGAGACATGGGACACTCAAGGGAGGGGCAAAGGAAAGATGGCCATGTCTGGCCACAGTGCAGAGGAGAGCATCTAAAGCATGCTCTCACATGTGTGTCCTTTGGAGCTGGGAGAAATGAATCCTGGCTATTTGAGCTGCACAGTCTGCAGAGCATCTTACTGGAGCTCATGCCAGAGAATCCAGAGAGCTATGAGCAAAGGCTGTTCTGAAAAGGGAACTGAAACTCTTCCATCCAAGTCCTCATCTCTAATCTGTCTCACAGGAATATGACTGAATGGATTCTCTCCATTGCTGCGTCAGATGGACACACAGAGTAAGTGTATATATGTGTGCAGTACAAACTAATATGATTACTTGGTGTTGTTTGTCCGTTGTTCCTCCTTCTCCTTCTTTTTTGACCTCCCTCTCTCTTCCCCAAGCAGTTATACTTCCCTATTATTCCATTAATTTGTGTATCTGCATATGTCCCCGTGTGGTTTCAGGCATGTTAGTGCAGTTTCTAAGGAGGCCATAAGAGAGTACCAGATTCCTGTGGTTGAGACAAGGAAGTTGCTATTTAGTAGATGTGCATCCAGGGAGGTAAATTTGGATGCCTTTCATGAGCAGTTAAATGCTCTTAACCGCTGAGCTATTGAGGTTTTTCGTTGTTGCTGTTTTCCTCTGTTTGCTTTAGATATTAATCCCTTGTTGAATGTTGTAGGCATATCTAGCAATATTTCAAGTATTTCTCTTTCTGTTGGTTTCTAATTATTTTCATTATGGAATAATGAAACACAGGAAACATTATTTTTTATGTTTGTTCGTTTTGTTTTGTGTCCTTAAATATGATGTATTTTTGGGAAACTACATGACTTCTCAATAGGTTATTTCCTTTAGTTACTAGCACTGACTCCTTAGATCCTCTGTGTTTCTGTTGCAGATGCTGGTCACCTCCTCGAGAACACCTTTTATTGCACTTGTTTGGAGTTTCATTTTTTCACTCTTTCACCTCTGTGTGTTGACATCATTGTGTGTGAAGTCTTTTGAAAAATATCAACATAGACATCTGAAACCTTTTATTTGAAGATTTCCTTTCAATTTGTAAGCATAATTTATACCATACTGTACATATTGAGGGGTACCATGATGCATGCAAACATTGCTGAACATTCAAACCAAGGTCATTATATTTCTCACCTAAAATACTCTCCATCTTTTATGGTGAGAATACTTACAATTATTTCTTGTGGTTGTTTTACAATATAAAATACTTCATGAAATTTATTTTTGTATCCATTTGCAGCTTAGTGCTGTATAAGAAACATCCCATATCTATCTCTCATCCACAATGTTCCCATGGAAACCAAAATTTTCCTATCCATCCTTGTGATATCAACTTCTTAGTGTCAAAATATTAGTGAAATTACACAATATTTGTCTTCCTGACTATGGGAGTTAACTCTTCATTCTGCTGTGTTTATTTTTTTTAAAAAAAATAGTTCTTCCCTAACTTGCCTAACCTCCTACAACTTCAGTGGAACTCTGAAACACAGCTTGCTACAATACATAGATGACCAAGAGTTGAGTGAGCAGTCATGTGGCAGGACACCCCATTCTCAAGGACCTCCTCCATAGTGGGCAAAACCTCGGATCCCTCTCCAACCTGCCTCAGCTTATCTAGCCACCAGCAGGAGAGTTTCCTGCTGAGAAGCCCAAGAGAAAAGACCAAGAGAGGAGGCTAAGAGATACCTCAGTGGCTCCCTGAGACACAGACATTGACACTACAGAGAAGACCAAGAACAATTCCCAAAGGACACAGTCACTGCAAGGATTGGACCAAGTCACAAAGACACTGCCGGCATCAACTGAAGGAAGAGATGGGTAGGTGCCAATGCAAGAATTTATCCAAAAACCTAACCCAGTGATCACACAACAGGAAGACTTAATCATCCTAAACCAGAAGAAGAAGAAGAAGAAGAAGAAGAAGAAGAAGAAGAAGAAGAAGAAGAAGACAACTTTAAATGTAACTTAATGAAGATGATGGAGACCTTTAAGGAGGAAATGAGAAACTCCCTTAAAAAATGGAAAAAAAAGACAAACAAAAAAATTGGAAAATGGTGATAGATATGGATCTATTTTCATTCTTCTACAGGTTGACATCTAGTTATCCAGGACCATTTGTGAAAGATGCTTTCTTTCTTCCATTGTATGTTTTTAGCTCCTTTGTCGAAAATCAGGCATTCATAGGGGTGTGGATTAATATCTGTGTCTTCAATTCGATTCCATTGGTCAACATCTCTGTTTTTGTGCCAATACCAAGCTATTTTCAT